GTTTCACCATGCAGCTCTCGTGATCCATCAGCTCACCCAGAGAACACTCCTTCCTCAACTGAAACACAAACGAGACATTTCAAAGACAAACCACAGTACATTTTAGCATTCTAGCATAAAAATACGCAGTCACACAACTGGTATTTCTGAGGGATTATTTATATGTGACATAAAATGCAGAATAACATCACAAAGTGACAGCACACTCATTGCCACACTGCTAACATATGTGTACACCCCTATATAATAAACACTTACTATTTGTCATTATTCATCACACTACCTTATTTAAATAAACCTCCGGGTCGAAATGCGGTCCGTTGATATCACACGGATCCAGAGACTCGGCTTGTTCTGCAGCTGTTCCTTCCTCATTCAGGCCGTAGTAGAGCTTCAGCATACTGTGAACCCGCCGCCGCCCGGTCGGGTCCGAATCCGGTGGGGTTGTAGCTGAACTCATTTCCACTACAGTTCAACTATAGCCTAATGTCAGAGCGAGAGGGACTTTATTTCATGAATGAATGACAGATGTCAACAAAACTTCCGTCGCAAAAGCTAGCTGCAACCTGCCAACTCTTTTGTTGATGGGGCTGCTGCTCTGCTCCAAAATGGCGCTACTACACAGTATTTCAAAATAAGAGTCGGATGCGAATTATACTGTACGTATTTAATGATAAAAAACGATTTTATATAATAACAAACATGTAAATAATTTAACTTGGACAAAATGGCTATTGTGGAGAGAATAAAATAAAAGTTAAATGCTTAAAAAAAAATTTAATACTTGTAACTACTTCTATGCATGAAAATATACACAATATTTAGTTTGTTACATTTATTTCGTTCCTTTTTTTTCTCTCCTCAAGATGTAATTCTGTTAAACACATCAAATACCTTATTGCAAGCATAGTTCGTTTAAATAAAACATCAATAAAAAAGCCATTATACAGAAAATTATTTACCGATAGGTATGCCAGAAGTTAGTACAAAGCGTGAATAAAAAGGTTTAATGTTGCATATAAATGGTTTCAGTTAATTTTAGTCACATTTTGGTAGTGAAATTTGTGTATAAAACCTCACAAACAACAAAAGGCAGTGGAGATATAATTTCAAGGGACAGATCACAGCAAAACTATAGCAACAGATTTAATGTGAATGTAAAAAAAGGCACTTTAAATTAGTATTGACAGATTCAATATTTCTATAACATAGATGTGACTATCTACAGCACAGTTAGTAGGTACATATGTGGCTGACAGATGTTCAGATTGAAATATAAATATTGGATTACCTTTAGAATTGAAAATATAATATGGAACAATGGTACAGAAAATCTGGGAATAAGCATTTTAGGATTAACATCTTGATGACGAGTGTTTTGCATAAATACAGAAATGCAGTGGGTGTACTGATCATTTTGCACCATTCAGCTGGCTGTTCACAGTTCATCACAGTTCAGTTTGTGATGCAAAAAAAAATTGTTTTCATTTTCCACACTTTTAAAAGTGATCGAATAAGCAAGTATAGAAACGTTCACAGAAACATGCACACCACAAAATCAATTTAAGACAACTGATGTCATGCACTGATACAGAATTGTCAAGGGACAGATCACAGCAAAACTATAGCAACAGATTTAATGTGAATGTAAAAAAAGGCACTTTAAATTAGTATTGACAGATTCAATATTTCTATAACATAGATGTGACTATCTACAGCACAGTTAGTAGGTACATATGTGGCTGACAGATGTTCAGATTGAAATATAAATATTGGATTACCTTTAGAATTGAAAATATAATATGGAACAATGGTACAGAAAATCTGGGAATAAGCATTTTAGGATTAACATCTTGATGACGAGTGTTTTGCATAAATACAGAAATGCAGTGGGTGTACTGATCATTTTGCACCATTCAGCTGGCTGTTTTCCTATCACAGTTCAGTTTGTGATGCAAAAAAAAATTGTTTTCATTTTCCACACTTTTAAAAGTGATCGAATAAGCAAGTATAGAAACGTTCACAGAAACATGCACACCACAAAATCAATTTAAGACAACTGATGTCATGCACTGATAAATACAGGATTGTGTTTGGTAACTGAAGACCTGTTAATGTAGGGTTTGACATTAAGATTTGACAGGTACTTGAATGTTTAAGAACAATTAAATCACTTGTTAAAAAAAAAAAAGCGTGTTGACATTACTACCAAAACAGGAGGCATAATGAACATAAATTCATTCATTTAGTAATTCTTCACAATTCAGACAATCAGTAAAAGTCTCAAAGTGTTTGGTAATGATGCCACAGGGTGAACAACTGGACAATAAGTATCAGAGGTTATGATCAAATAAACAATGACAGCTGACAATTAGCATGAAGCTGATTGTTACCAGAACAGAATTGTTCCTTTGACATTTTTTGTAACTGTCCTGGACAAACATTAATGTCGAGCCTTGTGTTGCTACAAAAAAAAATAATATGCATTTCATATAGTTAGGTACATTCACGCTCTAAAAGGCCGGAAATACAATACAATACAATGCTTAGGGTTTCATACGTTGTAAAAGCATCACTAAATAGAAATAGCAGACATACAACATCACCGATTGATCACCAAGCACCTACACAATTTGGTGATTTGATGTATTAAAGTTCTCTATGCTTTACAAATGCAGATTATGCTCACATATGACCTGGATTGTTTTCAGCAGTGCATTACATGCACACCATCAGAAAGACATGATTCTCCAGAGCAACAAGGTAGTGGGACCACTACTATAATGAACAGCACTCAACGTGTAGAGCCATGATTTAGGTTTGGTCACAACTGAACACAAAAAAAATAAATTTGAACAACCATCTTGTTACAAAGCAGAAGTCTGTATATGCAAGCAAGCCCTGTAGTAAACAGATAGCAAAAACAATGCACACATTCAGTACAGTAGAATGTCAGAATCTCAGTCTATGCTGTCTTTGCAATGCTTTTCCACAGACTGCAGCCCTGGTTTTGTGTATAGGAGCAGTCGTCCTATACTAGAGGCATTGACTGTTTGCTTTGGTGCAGCAGGTCTAGTTTTAGCAGTATTAGTGGCATGGATTAAAGTGCTGGACTACTGTACTCTTGATTTACAGCCACTGGGATGTAGTTTGGTTTGAAGGTTGCATAGTAGAATCTACATTCAGAAGAGTGACCTAAACAGAGCTTTCGGATCGTGTCTCATGGTCCTGCACTTGCACCAAAATATCTTTTAAGTTAGTTTAACAGAACAGCATTATTGAAGCAAATTTCACATTCATTTTTAACGGCCAACAGAGTCATAATGCACAAATTATCTACAAATACTGGTTTAGCTCTTCAGTCTGTGATCTTGGTCCAATCTGTCCATTCAGATGGTTTTGCACTGTCTCTCTGAGGATCTAAATAGATGTAGTTTTGGTCACCAGGCAGAAGAGGGCAGTGTTGAAGCCGGGGCTCACCCTTGTTCCAAACTTTCAGTCACCTGAACAGCCGAGTAAGTGGGAGGCTGCGCCTGTCGCGTGAAGAAAGAAGCAGCTCTTTTGGGCTTCAGACGTTTAATCTCTTTGCCTGAAACAATGCAGGTAAATTAAAATGAGCTTTGTCCCAGTTTATTATTTCTCTATTGTAAATGATAAAAGTTAATGGGCAGAACAACTGAACAACAAGTGCATCCATCGCACCAATGCAATTTTAGTCTCTTACCGTCATCAACATAGCTGATGGTGTTGAGTGAATGGACTCTGCTACAGACCACGCTGCTCTGTCTGCGCAGTTTCCCCTGCCGTCGCTCTCGGGTTTTCTCATTGGTTTCCTGACCTGTAGGTTCTTGGGAAGGTGTGACCTCACCATCAGTACCAGCGGCTGCTGACTCGCCAACAGAGCGTAACTCCACACAAAACTCAACAAGACCACTCATTAGCTCGGCCTAGAGGACAAAACAAAGTGTACAGTTATGCATATGTAATACATTTATATATATA